GTGCTTAGACGCAATAGTGCGGTTGGACACACCGCAGGTATAGTGTGTTGGATTGTAAAAGTAGACCAAAGAATTTTACCTGTAATATTACAAAATATCATTTCGGGAATTGTCGAATTGATTGGTATTTTTATTGTAATTCCCTATTATTATATTACAAAATGTCTGAATTTTATTTTTTTATTTAAAAAAAAAGATAGTGTGGCTTGCGCCACAGTCACTAATATGTACTATCTAAAATACACTCATATTATATTTTATATATATATATATATAGGGTAGCCCTATAAATATTTTTTTTTGAAAAATAATATTAAGGGGTTCTAGGGGGTACATATTGTGTTGCGTTACATTTACGCAAAATGTACTCTGACAAGAATAGGAATTAGCCTCTCGATAACAATCCAGAGATCTTTAGCGGCCTCATGATGCCTGAGTTGCCGAAGGTACCATTTAAAGTGATACCTCCCCTTTGGTCTGAGGCTGAGGAAATTGTGATAAGAGCCAGCGGCAAGTCTGCTCCAGGTCCGAATGGTGTTCCGTACGTTCTTTACAAGCGTTGTCCAAAAGTCCTACGAATGCTTCACGGGTTGTTGAGACAAGCGTGGAGCCGAAAACACATACGTCCAGAATGGCAGAAGGCTAACGATGTCTACATTCCCAAAAAGTAGGACTCGAAGAGTCTTTCCCCAATTCAGGCCCATCTCGCTGTTGAATGATGAGGGCAAAATATTCTTCTCGGTCATGGCTCGCCGGCTCACACAGTATCTGATGGCGAACAAGTACATCGATACGAGTATTCAGAAGGGTGGTATCCTGGGAGTTCCTGGGTGCCTTGAACACGCCACCATGATTTGAGAGTCTATCCAGAGGGCCAAGCATGAGAGAACCCAATTGCACGTTATAGGGTTGGACCTAGCCAACGCCTACGGGGCAGTTCCCCATACGCTACTGTGGCAGGCCCTTCGCATGTTTCACCTACCGGCACAGATCAACGAAATGATCGAGCAATATTTCTCTAAGTTTGCTTTGCACTTCTCTACTTTGACGTTTACCACGAGGTGGACTGAGCTACAAGTTGGGATAGCTATGGGATGTACGATCTCACCAATACTGTTCGTCATGGCCATGCAGATTATGTTGGACGGGGCGGCAGGCTACGGACATGGCCTTCAAATTGGGGATCACTGGATGCCGCCACTACGCGCATTTATGGATGACACGACTATAATCACGGGCAGCGAGGAGTCTGTCCGTATGATTCTGGAAAGATTGGACGCAGTGGCTCAATGGAGCTGGATGCAATTCAAACCGCAGAAGTCGAGGAGTCCGTCAATCCTTAAAGGCAAGGTGTCGGCAACCAGTTTTACGATGGCAAGGAATAAGATCCCCAACGGTTCTGGAGGAACCGGTGAAGAGCCTTGGTCGCGTTTACGATTCGAAGTTATCTGATAGAGCGGAGGTCCGGCGAATACACGAGTCGCGATCGAGCGTAGCAGGCTGATTGGGAAGTTCAAGGTCTAGTGTCTCCAATTTGTGTTGATTCCAAAGCTCCTCTGGCCTCTGTTAGTCTACGAAGTGACAATGACTGTAGTGGAGACGATTTTAGAAAAAGATTAACACAGCCTTAAGAAAGTGGATTGGTGTATCGCCTTGTCTGACTGACGTGGCTCTGTATTGTAAGCAGGCTAAGCTGGTACTCCCGTTCAAATCGATAACCGAAGAGTTTAAAGTCGGCAAAGTAAGACTCGCCATGCTCTTGCGCGAGTCTTCAGACCCAAATGTCATCGATGTCCAGCCCGCTCTAAAGACTGGTCAGAAGTGGAGAGTAATCGATGCGATAGAATCTGCCCAGAATTCACTAAAATTGAAGGAGATTATGGGATACACTCAAACCGACCGTGGAGGCCTAGGTCACGGAAAGGTCAGTTGGTGGTCCAAAGCCACAGCCAAAGAGCGCGGAGACTTGGTAATACAGCAAGTAAGGGACAACAAAAACAAGGTTCGGGTTCAGAAAGCTGCCCAACAGTCGCAGCAGGGCCATTGGGTCAGCCTGGAGAGCGCATTGCCAAGAGTACTCACATGGGGTGAGATCTGGCGAATGACCCCGCTACGACTGAGCTTTATCGTTCGTTCTGCGTACGATGTATTACCGTCCGGTGTCAACATGGTGAAGTGGTCTCCGACTAACGACCCGACATGCCCGCTGTGCAGAGCGAAGCAGACGTTAGAACATATGTACAAGCTCGAGAAGTACTATGACTTAGCAGCCGATCTGAGGAGAGACGAAGTATACACAGTACTAGTCTTTGCCGACGAAGTGGGAGCGGGAGGTCTCGTTTCCACTTCACTCTACAATGTGGTTAAAGAACTAGGATTGTCCGGTAATGAACGCAAACGGACACTTAAAAAGCTGGACTAGGTTGCTGAGAGGGCCTGGCTCTGGACACATCGAAACAACGTAGGGGACGGGCCTCAGTGAGCTGGTCCGGGTGTCTAGCGGAAAAGAATTTCTCATCCCTTGAAAGTCCATCGTGTCCGAATTGCCTGCTAGTGTCCCTCTGCCACCTGCCAACAAAGTCAAACATGTGTCCGGTATACAAATCGTAAGCTTGCCGCTCGGTCGTTCAGGTATGCAGACTGCTTTAATTATGCTACCGCGACAACTTCTTATCTCACAGTACCTTCTGCAAAATCACCAGTTCGTCTTGTCCCTATCCTAACAACATCCGGTAATTTCGTGCAGCATGGGAAACCAACCCTGAGCTTCATGAACTCAGGTGGGCCCACTCTCTGAAAATGTCTAGGAGCTCGTGGGCCGAAACATTTGTCGACGAGAGATTACTTCTACTGATGATTAGTAGACCCCTGCTGTACATGCTCCCCTGTGGAGTTTATTCTTATGCTCCGTCATCAAATCCTTTCTTCGAAGTTTTCATGCTTTCTTTACACCCACAAAGAAGGAAAGTAAATATTATGTAACCAGAAAAAGGAGCTAAAGAATAAAAGAGGAAAAGGGCTATAAAGGGGTAAAGAAGAAGAGGAAGATGATGAAAAAGAAAAAGAAGAAAAAGAAGAAGAAGAAGAAGAAAGAAGAAGAAGAAGAAGAAGAAGAAGAAGAAGAAGAAGAAGAAGAAGAAGAAGAAGAAGAAGAAGAAGAAGAAGAAGAAGAAGAAGAAGAAGAAGAAGAAGAAGAAGAAGAAGAAGAAGAAGAAGAAGTAGTAGTACTAGTACTAGTAATTGTAGTAGTAGTTGTAGTAGTAGTATAAGTACAAGTAGTAGTAGTAGTAGTTATTGTTGTTGATGATGTCGTTGTTGCAGTAGTTTTTCTTTGCATTCAATAGAATAAATTCATATTTCTACCTCGTTTTCTACAGGCAAATTAGGTCAGTACTCCCAGCCAACAGAACAGTCCTAATAAAACTTCAGAGAAGCGAAATCCCAGCTTTCAAGAACATTGACAAAATCAGGATCATATACAATCACCCATTATACCCTAAATATCCACCGAACACAGTCGTCGCTGAGTATTCATGCGCCATGAATGCCAAATTTGATGTTTTACAAATGGCGATTGAGAAAGGTCTTGTGCACACTGAACACATTGCCTGGCTAGATATAGGCTATTTCAGGTATGTGATTGATGTCTTTGCCATCTCCTTGTTTGTAGATAGTGCTAACGTCGTAGTAAAAGGATTTTTACAACTAACTCCTATGTTTACCTCCCTCTCTTATTATAAGGTGGTGAAAGGGACATCGGAGAGGAGGTTGGGAGGGGTTATATTGTCTTCTCAGTGTGCTTGAGCTCAGACACGATCACAAAATCAGGGGTGTGGGAAAGGGGGGCGGGGGGGGGGGGGGGCGGGCAGATTACAAGGGAAGTTCGAGCGTAAAGGGAACGTAAACGAGTTAATTTCAGAATGCAGAAGACATATAGTAAAGTAAAGATCCTTATTCACGCCTTCAGGCGCTTTGGACATATGGAAAGAGCGCCCATATTTTTACAGACCATCGGCACTGGGTGGGTAATGTGGTCAACATTATGCCAGCCGTCTATAATTCCCCAGGACAGCCATCCTGGAACCCATTTTAGACTGGGTCCACCTGCGACGCCCCATACTATGATAAAAATCCACGCAGCCAACAGTGGGTTTCGATCGCGGTACATTGGAATTACGAGTCGTACTCGCAACGCTTAAGCCACGGATGCCGCACGCAGAAGACATAACACAAAGACAAATACGACTAAAACTGAAATAATGCAGTTAATTAGATTCCTTGTCCGCTACATATATAGCTGAAGCGATGTAAAGAATTTAAATATCCAAAAAGTATATTTTTTAACAACTTCGGAAAAAGTCCGCAATTAGAAACAAAAACAAGGTGCACATATTCACCTGGTTATGCCAATATTAAAACGCCCAGACATTAGTAGAACTGTGAAGTAACATATTATAAGAGCAGCATATTGACATCAAAACTTTGCTACCCGTTCCGGACTAGTGTAAAATTAACCTTCTTAAATTAGATACATGAGGAAAGCCATCAGCCTAACTACTCTAGTCCGAGTGAGAAACGATACTGTCAGATTGTGAGAACCACATCCGGCTTTAACTTTCTGGAAACTTCTGGTTGCTCATCGACTTCCTTTGGCATATTTGCAGTTCTACATTCTGTTAATTTTTGTAAACTGGCTTTTGCTTTGCTTAGCGAACACTGGCTGTAAACTCTTGAGGAAACTTCTGGTTGCTCATCAACTTCTTTTGCATATTTGTAGTTCTACGGTCTGTTAATGTTTGTAAACTGGCTTTTGTTCTCCTTCGCGAACACTGGCTGTAAACTCTTGCGGAAACTTCTGTTTGCTCATCGACTTCTTTTGCATATTTGCAGTTCTACAGTCTGTTAATTTGTGTAAACTGGCTTTTGCTTTGCTTCGCAAACACTGGCTGTAAACTCTTGAGGAAACTTATGGTTGCTCATCGACTTCTTTTGCATATTTGCAGTTCTACGGTCTGTTAATTTTTGTAAACTGGCTTTTGTTTTGCTTCGCAAACACTAACTGTAAACTTTTGCGGAAACTTCTGGTTGCTCATCCACTTCTTTTGCATATTTGTTACCAAAAAATTCGCAATGATAAGGAATTGATTTAATCCAACAAGATGAAACTGGACAAATTTGTTTGTGCTGTTTGTACCTTGAGGATACATATTTAGTAGTGCTATAAGTACTGTTAGGAAAACTATTCTGGGTGAAAAAAAGTATTGAACATATCAATTTCATACTGATTGTGCTTGTTTACTAATTATTAAATAACAGTATAATTGTATGTTGAAGTAGTCTACTAATAATAATAATAACCATCAATCATTTATATTTATGTTATGTATGACATGTGTATGTTTCATAGCAGTATTTTTATGCGCTAAATTTGATAAAGTACAAATGTCACCCTCCCCCCCCCCCCCCCCCCCCCCCCCCGCTCCTCTGATGCAGCAATACCCTCTCAGAATCAAAGAGTTATCACTGATATTTCTTATTTACACTTATTTATCTTAAAAATTACGTATAGTTCTAAAAAATATGTCCAAAATTAATGAAACTGTAGTCTAATTTGTGTATACATCTCCTCGATAAAAACTGTTTACAAAGAAGGACTCAATTCTTGCACAAGAACGGGAATCCCCGTTGACCCAGTTGGCCTATTTATAGCCTAAAGATGGCCGTGGTGAGAACATACCTTGCACCAGATTCATGCACAAGCAGAAGATCAAATGGTTAGGTTATCTCGTTAGAATACAGCCACAATAAAAATAGGCCTACTATGAAAACTCTATAGGGGAGCATACACAGCAGGAGTCTACCGGTCATCTGTCGTCGACAGTTATTTCGTCCCGTTATCATCCTAAACATTCTTGGAAGGTGGGCCAACCTGGGTCATGACACCAGGCAACAGTATCTATTGCTACGCCTAATCGGACACGTACTGACGAGACGAAGGTGAATTCAACAGGTACTGGTGAGATTTGGTTTCATCGGTGTTGTATTGTCGTTGCGGTAGCAACCGCTAACCGCCACGGTTGATTGACAAGCGAGATTTGTAGCACACACCGCCGCCCCACCAAAACTATATTACATTACAAAAGTCGTGCCCTGGAATATTCACTATTCGCAATAGGGCGAAATACTAACTAGAGCTTCTTAACAATAAAATGTTTGCTACTACCAGAAACTTTCTGTGTAACTATAAATCTGAAAATGTGCTGTTATCAGAAACCTTATGTATGACACTAAACACTGACAGTCGTTAACGAAGGCAGTCAGATCGTTGTTGGGGCGAGGCTTGCTGGTTGATGTAGTGTCCTAAATCCCTTCCCCAGCTAATAGTAGGGTACTGCTGGGGTGACAGTTTATTAACCCTCACATAATGCTTCAGGTCCAAATGGACACTAGGCACTGCCATTGTTTTGAGCTGAAGCATACATTTTTGCTTCTGCCAGACTGTGGCCGTTGCTTTTTTGCTGAAATTTGTAGACTGGAAGTATATAGTTTCGTTGCCCAACTTCTGAGTTGAATGCATGGCGTGACACTGTGAGCTGTGATTTGTAGATTCAGAAAATAGCGCGATGCCGGTTGTCGCAATATTGGTGGGGCCATTATTGTGTGTAACTGCTGATCTTTTAATAACTTCTGCTACCATCAATGATGAACTGCATTTCTAACGTCGGACTGTTTGTGTTAGCACTTTGTATGGCTACCATATGCTTTTAATGCGAGTGTATGCTAGATTTGCTGAGACAGCAGTTTGTCAGTCTTTCCACAAGGGACTGTGATAAACATTATGTGTGTTTTTCTTTGGCACAGAAGTGGAGCAAAGATGGGGTGACCCGTTTGCTGTGAAGCTGAAATTAAAATTACCAGATTACCAGATTACTGAACACTTGCTACTGCCAGAAACCGTCTGTATAACCATAACACTGAACACATCCTACTGCCTGAAACCTCCTGTATAACACTAAACACTTGCTACTGTCAGGAACCTCATGTATAACACTGAACACTTGCTACTGCATGAAACCTTATGTATAACACTGAACACTTGCTACTGTCTGAAACCTTCTGTATAACACTGAACACTTGCTACTGTCAGAAACCTCCTGTATAACACTAAACACTTGCTACTGCATGAAACCTTCTGTAAACGACTGAACACTTGCTACTGCCAGAAAAATCATGTATAACACTGAACACTTGCTACTGCCTGAAAGCTTCTGTATAACACTGAACACTTGCTATTGCCAGAAACCTTATGAATAACTAAAGCACAAAACACTTGCAACTGCCTGAAAGCTTCTGTATAACACTGAACACTTGCTATTGCCAGAAACCTTATGAATAACTAAAGCACAAAACACTTGCAACTGCCTGAAACTTCCTGTATAACACTGAACACTTGCTACTGCCTGAAACCTTATGTATAATTAAAGCACTAAGCACTTGCAACTGCCTGAAACCTCCTGTATAACACTGAACACTTGCTACTGCCTGAAATCTTCTGTATAACACTGAACACTTGCTCCTGTCTGAAAACTCTTGTATAATACTGAACACTTGCTACTGCATGAAACCTCATGTATAAAACTAAACACTTGCTACTGCCTGAAACCTCCTGTATAACACTGAACACTTGCTACTGCCTAAAACCTACTGTATAACACTGAACACTTGCTACTGAATGCAGCCTCCTGTATAACACTGAACACTTGCTACTGCCTGAAACCTCCTGTATACCACTAAACACTTGCTACTGCCTGAAATCTTCTGTATAACACTGAACACTTGCTCCTGCCTTAAACCTCATGTATAACATTGAAAACTTGCTACTGCCTGCAACCTCTTGTATAACACTGAACACTTGCTACTGCCTGAAACCTCCTGTATAACACTGAACACTTGCTACTGCATGAAACCTCATGTATAACACTGAACACTTGCTCCTGCATGAAACCTCGTGTATAACATTAAACACTTGCTACTGCCTGCAACCTCTTGTATAACACTGAACACTTGCTACTGTCAGAAACCTCCTGTAAAACACTAAGTAATTGCTACTGCATGAAACCTCCTGCATAACACTGAACACTTACCACTGTCAAAAACCTCCTGTAAAACGATGAACACATGCTACTGACAGAAACCTCCTGTATAACACTGAACACTTGCTATTGCATGAAAATTTCTGTAAAAGACTGAACACTTGCTACTGCTAGAAAAATCATGTATAACACTGAACGCTTGCTACTGCAAGAAACCTTATGTATAACACTGAACACTTGCTACTGCCTGAAACCTCATGTATAACACTGAACACTTGCTACTGCCTGAAATCTCCTGTATAACACTAAACACTTGCTTCTGCCTGAAACCCCCTGTATAACACTGAACACTTGCTACTGCCTGAAACCTCTTGTATAACACTAAACACTTGCTTCTGTCTGAAACTCCCTGTATAACACTGAACACTTGCTACTGCCTAAAACCTTCTGTATAACACTGAACGCTTGCTACTGCCTGAAACCTCATGTATAACATTGAACGCTTGCTACTGTCTCAAACCTCATGTATAACACTGAACACTTGCTACTGCCTGAAGCCTCCTGTATAACACTAAACACTTGCTACTGCCTGAAACCTTCTGTATAACACTGAACACTTGCTACTGCCTGAAACCCCCTGTATAACACGGAACCTTGCTACTGTCAGAAACCTCCTGTATAACACTGAACACTTGCTCCTGTCTGAAAACTCTTGTATAATACTGAACACTTGCTACTGCATGAAACCTCATGTATAAAACTAAACACTTGCTACTGCCTGAAACCTCCTGTATAACACTGAACACTTGCTACTGCCTAAAACCTACTGTATAACACTGAACACTTGCTACTGAATGCAGCCTCCTGTATAACACTGAACACTTGCTACTGCCTGAAACCTCCTGTATACCACTAAACACTTGCTACTGCCTGAAATCTTCTGTATAACACTGAACACTTGCTCCTGCCTTAAACCTCATGTATAACATTGAAAACTTGCTACTGCCTGCAACCTCTTGTATAACACTGAACACTTGCTACTGCCTGAAACCTCCTGTATAACACTGAACACTTGCTACTGCATGAAACCTCATGTATAACACTGAACACTTGCTCCTGCATGAAACCTCGTGTATAACATTAAACACTTGCTACTGCCTGCAACCTCTTGTATAACACTGAACACTTGCTACTGTCAGAAACCTCCTGTAAAACACTAAGTAATTGCTACTGCATGAAACCTCCTGCATAACACTGAACACTTACCACTGTCAAAAACCTCCTGTAAAACGATGAACACATGCTACTGACAGAAACCTCCTGTATAACACTGAACACTTGCTATTGCATGAAAATTTCTGTAAAAGACTGAACACTTGCTACTGCTAGAAAAATCATGTATAACACTGAACGCTTGCTACTGCAAGAAACCTTATGTATAACACTGAACACTTGCTACTGCCTGAAACCTCATGTATAACACTGAACACTTGCTACTGCCTGAAATCTCCTGTATAACACTAAACACTTGCTTCTGCCTGAAACCCCCTGTATAACACTGAACACTTGCTACTGCCTGAAACCTCTTGTATAACACTAAACACTTGCTTCTGTCTGAAACTCCCTGTATAACACTGAACACTTGCTACTGCCTAAAACCTTCTGTATAACACTGAACGCTTGCTACTGCCTGAAACCTCATGTATAACATTGAACGCTTGCTACTGTCTCAAACCTCATGTATAACACTGAACACTTGCTACTGCCTGAAGCCTCCTGTATAACACTAAACACTTGCTACTGCCTGAAACCTTCTGTATAACACTGAACACTTGCTACTGCCTGAAACCCCCTGTATAACACGGAACCTTGCTACTGTCAGAAACCTCCTGTATAACACTGAACACTTGCTACTGCTAGAAAAATCATGTATAACACTGAACGCTTGCTACTGCCAGAAACCTTATGTATAACACTGAACACTTGCTACTGCCTGAAACCTCTTGTATAACACTAAACACTTTCTTCTGCCTGAAACCCCCTGTATAACACGGAACCTTGCTACTGTCAGAAACCTCCTGTATAACACTGAAAACTTTCTACTGCCTGAAACCTCATTCATAACATTAAACACTTGCTACTGCCTGAAACCTTCTGTATAACACTGACCACTCGCTACTGCCTGAAACCTCCTTATAACACTGAACACTCGCTACTGCCCGAAACCTGTATAACACTGAACACATCCTACTGCCAGAAACCTCCTTTATAAATATAACACTGAACACTTGCTACTACCAGAAACCTACTGTATAACTATAACACAGAACATTTACTACTGCCAGAAACCTTCTAGAGCCCAAATTTCGCCCAAAAGACGAGAGCTTCAGCCTGGAAGTCCCTGCGAACTTCAACTCTAGCACTGTTGGCATGACCATAGTGACACCCTGGACAGAACTGTCAAAGCTAACCGCCTGGGACTACATCAGAGACAACAGGGTCTGGGTTACAGGAGGCTTTGTCTTGGCGACTAAAGAGGTACGCCGTCGGTTTATGCATTTTTTTAACCGTCTATTAGTTGCCATGTTTTTGATCACAACCTCGTGTCGCTATATGTATGGTCCATGTTGAGAGACTTTGGGGGCATTGTTTGTTCATTTAGACTCTATATGCATTCTTTATAATCTATACGGGACGACATTAGTATGTATGTATGTATGTATGTATGTATGTATGTATGTATGTATGTATGTATGTATGTATGTATGTATGTATGTATGTATGTATGTATGTATGTATGTATGTATGTATGTATGTATGTATGTATGTATGTATGTATGTATGTATGTATGTATGTATGTATGTATGTATGTATGTATGTATGTATGTATGTATGTATGTATGTATGTATGTATGTATGTATGTATGTATGTATGTATGTATGTATGTATGTATGTATGTATGTATGTATGTATGTATGTATGTATGTATGTATGTATGTATGTATGTATGTATGTATGTATGTATGTATGTATGTATGTATGTATGTATGTATGTATGTATGTATGTATGTATGTATGTATGTATGTATGTATGTATGTATGTATGTATGTATGTATGTATGTATGTATGTATGTATGTATGTATGTATGTATGTATGTATGTATGTATGTATGTATGTATGTATGTATGTATGTATGTATGTATGTATGTATGTATGTATGTATGTGTGTGTGTGTGTGTGCGTGTATGTATGCATGTATGTATGTATGTATGTATGTATGTATGTATGTATGTATGTATGTATGTATGTATGTATGTATGTATGTATGTATGTATGTATGTATGTATGTATGTATGTATGTATGTATGTATGTATGTATGTATGTATGTATGTATGTATGTATGTATGTATGTATGTATGTATGTATGTATGTATGTATGTATGTATGTATGTATGTATGTATGTATGTATGTATGTATGTATGTATGTATGTATGTATGTATGTATGTATGTATGTATGTATGTATGTATGTATGTATGTATGTATGTATGTATGTATGTATGTATGTATGTATGTATGTATGTATGTATGTATGTATGTATGTATGTATGTATGTATGTATGAATGTATGTATGTATGTATGTATGTATGTATGTATGTATGTATGTATGTATGTATGTATGTATGTATGTATGTATGTATGTATGTATGTATGTATGTATGTATGTATGTATGTATGTATGTCTTCTCCTTCTTCTTTCGTTCGCATGAAATAAATTGTCTTTATCTGCAAAGCCGTCTCTTGTATGAATTTCACTGTCTTTTGTAATTCACTAAGCGGCCCGTAAAGTTTGACTTCCACAAGTGTCTCTTTTGGCCAAATGTTTTGCCTGAAAGCGTTGAATATGGGACAGTCTTGAAGGATGTGATCTGTTGTTTCAGGTGCCAGTCCACAAGTACACATGGCCGATTGGCCAATCTTAAATTTGTTGTACATGTGGGAGCGAAGTCTATTGTGCCCTGTTCTAAGGCGAAGGATAATAACTTGCTCTGGTCTGTCCATAATATGGTAATCATCTTGTGCCAGTTTCGGTGGCATTCTGATTGATTTGATCATTCTCTTCTTCTGTTGATAAGAGACTGGTATGTCAGGTTGTTCTTCAGTTGAACCTTCCTTAGCTAGTTTATCAGCTTTTTCGTTTCCGGGAACTCCACAGTGGGAAGGTATCCACTGCATTACTAATTTACAGCGGTTGCCTAGTTCGGATAATAGTGTCCGTATGCTTGGTAATTTTCCAGACTGGAGTGACTGAAGTACTGCTTTTGCATCTGTCAGGAATACCACTGGTTGTGAAAAATACCCTGTATTTAGTAGTTTCTCTACCGCTATCTTGATGGCTTGAACTTCTGCATCATAGTTGTGACAGTGCTTTCCCGTTGGTAATTTGGCTGTATCCCTGGTATTATTAGGATACTCAATGTACACTCCCGCACCTCCGTTTCTGACTGCGCTTTCTGCTGGCCCATCTGTGTAAACACGGACCCAAAGGTTCTGCGGGTATTCATCATCAAGTAAACTGAGGGTGGCTGTTTTGCGCTGCACACTGTTTTGTTCTTCCTTGTCAAATACCCCTTTCACTTCAGTCTTGATGTGTATTGGAAACTTATACTCCTCTCTCCAGGGGGTCCGTTCTGGGACAGCATTTAAGGATCTATCAGTTGCAGGTAAATCAGTGGTTTGTCTGCCGAGCCGTTTGGCCTGGTGGATAAAACTACTTCTCTTTAGTCGTCCCAAAGCTAAATTTTTGAATCTTTCATTCATAGGGTGACTGGGCATACTAAGAAACTTTTCTGCTTGTAAAAGCATCTTGGTGTCTCTGCGTTCACTTAGTGCTTGGGTCATCCCCATTTTCTCCATCACAGCTATAGGTGTTGATTTCATACTGCCTGTGGTAACTCTGAGTGCTTGATTTTGCACTTTGTCTAATTCTTGCAATGTGGTTTTTGATGCCGAACTCCATGCTGTTGATCCGTATTCAAGATGTGGTCGAACACTTTGTTGGTAAACTTTTCTAAGTATTTTCCCGCTAGCACCCCATGTGGTTCCACTTAGTTTTCTCAGAATGGCTACCCTCCTTCTGGCTTTGGTTGCTGCCTTGTTGATGTGTTTTCTCCATGTTAATCTATCATCAAACGTTACGCCGAGGTATGTGGGCTCCTTATCCTCTCTCAGGGGTACTCTATTTATGTGCATGGCGCCTGATTTTTGTTTAGGAGAAAGGGTAAAGAGAGTGGTGCTGCATTTGCCTATGTTGATGCTGACACACCATTTGTCGGCCCATTTAGCCATTGCATCTATGGCTCTTTGTAGCAGTCTGGTGGCCACTGTCGCATTTTCATTTGTACACCAGAGTACCAAGTCATCAGCATACATTGCAGCTTTAATTCCATGGGGTAGTTCAGAAAGCAGGTCGTTGATATAGACTAGGAAGAGTGTGGGGGACAGGACACCTCCTTGTGGGACGCCATGGCGCAGCAAAACTTTCTTGCTCTTAAGTCCATCTATCTGTACTCGGGATCTTCTGTTATACAAGTATGCTTTGACCCATTTGTACATACTCCCATTCACCCTGCAGTCTCTCAGTTTCTTCAGTAGACCTTCTTTCCAGACCTTGTCAAAGGCTTTCTTCAGATCTATCCATGCCGTTAGCACTAGCTTCTTTTCCTGGAAGGCATCCTCAATTTCTTGTGAAAGGTAAGTTGTCTGGTCTTCTGAGGAGTAGCACTGTCTAAATCCTGCCTGCTGCGGCGTGAAAATGTTTTCACTTTCCAAGTACCATTGGAGTCTAAGGTTGACAATACGTTCCATTGTTTTACAGAGGCAGCTGGTAAGACTGATCGGTCTATAGCTGGAGGCATCAGAACTGTCCTTTCCTGGTTTAAGCAGAGGTATTGTGATTGCTTCTCTCCATATTTGAGGAACTTTGCCACTGGTCCAACAATGATTAAAGATCTGTAGCAGCTTTATTTTGGCAGTTGCTCCAAGGTTCTTGATCATTTCGTTGGTGATACCATCAATTCCAGGTGATTTTCCCATTCTCAGCTTTGATATTGCTAATTCTAACTCGCTGCCACCAGTGCCTCAGGAATTATATCTTTTTGTCTTGTATGTTGTTTGTTTTCTTGAACCTCTCGCTGTTTCTCTGGGCTGACATTAATGTTGCTGTCTTCTGCAAAGGAATCTGCAAAGTGGTCAGCTGCCTGTTTTCTTGTTAGGACGGCTCCCTCTTTGCACAGTGCAATATAACCATTTCTCCCTGTATTCTCATCATTAATTTGCTTAATTAACCTCCACAACTTCCTTGTGTCTCTTTCATAGTTTAGGGACTTTGTCTTTTCCTGCCAGCTTCTCCGTCTAGCCTGCAGTTTGGCTCTTTGAAATTTGGCCTTTGAATGTTGGTAGTTGTTAAGCTGCTCTTGACAAGGTCTGGTCTCAGCCTGTTTTCTTTCTGTTTCCATATTGTTGTGCAGTTGCTCCAGATCGCAATTCCAGTACGGTTTGTATTGTTTACGCGCACCTCTTGGAACTGCTTCTAGGGCTGCCTGCAGTATGTGTTTGCTCAACTCTTGGACTACTTTTTCTACGTCATTATCTGTGTTAAGATTTTCCAGCAGAACATTTGTGCGAAGCTGATATAACTTCTAGTCTGCCTTCTTAAAATTCCACCTTGGCAGTGTGCTGCTCTCTCTTACAGACTGGCTTTCGATAGTTAGAAAGACTGGCCGGTGGTCACTGCCTCCTAGTTGCTTCCCAACAGTTCTGGTAACATTCAGTTCCATGTCTGCTGAGTGAAAGGCTAGGTCTGGTGTCGAGGTGGTATGCCATGCTCTAGAGTAGAAGGTTGGTGGGTCGGTTGGCTTATTTACGAGGATGAACCTATTCTCATCCTGCCAGTCCTCTAGTTTCTCTCCTCTCTGGTCCATATGATCGTAGCCCCAACTTTGGGAATGGCTATTAAAATCCCCACAAATGATCCTTTTTTCATTTTTTTAGGACAGTATCCAGTGCCTGAGGGCGGTCGCTCGGACAGTAATAGTTGGTCAGATGTAAATCTGTATTTTCTAACTTGAGCTCAAGAGTTTGATACTCAGCACCTTTCATGTATGTTTCAATCCGGCCCGCAAGGATGTTATTTTTGACCAGGGTAAGAATTCCACCTTTTCTCCTGTCTTTGCGGTCAGATCGGAAACACTGGTAGCCTCTGATCTTAAAGGCCATATCTTGTTTGAGATACGTCTCTTGTAGGCAGCATACATGTATCTTCTCTTCGTTAAAGACGTTTTCTAATTCTAATTTCTTGGTATGTACTCCCTCCGCGTTCCAGTGCATTATTTTAAAGCTAGCTGTATTTTCTGCTTTTCTGGTTCTACGGGGCATTAGGGGGAGGCTTCGAGTATTTGA